ATTAATGACGATTCAATGGCATTTTAAAAATCGGGAGGTAAAATGAATTACGTCAGTATTTTTTAACATGGAAATAAAGTAAAATTCTTCTTTTCTTATTGGAAATTCCGTACTATGTAATAATATTATCTTTATAATTACTAATTTAATCATCTTCCGCAGAATAGTAATTTCTAAGTTCAAAGGAATTTAAAATTTTGATGCATACGTCTAGTACTTTTCCCTTGTTCAAACTAATTACTATGTTTTCTAAAATTTTCTCGTAAAAATGTGATTTAAATTCTAAAATAACAAGTCAATTCAACAATATTTTTGTTCATATTTCGTTTAAATATTATGAATTATTTTGTTGTAATGATCGAAATAAATTATATTGCTTATGAATTTTTTTTTATTTCAGCCTACGTTGCTATTGGGAGTTAGCACGAAGTCTTAATGTTAAAAATTAAATAAAGAAGATGCTCAAGAGGACATTGCTTTCCCTCCATTGTTTATAGTTTAAAGTTTTACTGGAATTATATTTGGAATATATTAAATTTAATTTTTTTTAGATTTCATAGTAGGCATAACAAAGACTATAAGAGACATTGATACAAATCTAGCCATTATAAAATGTCACACTAACTATACAATGTTACAAAGTTAAAAATTAAATAAAAATAATTACGTGCTCTATTCGTTGCAAGACCACCTAAAACGCTTTATCTATCCAAGTCCTAAACTTGCATTTATGTGTAAATAAAATAAATTTACTAGAATAAGATTCTACTAGTCTCATGATAATAAAAGGATTATTAAGTCGATGAAGATTAGTCATATTACTTACTTATCTTACTTGAGCTATATATTGTCACTGATAGATATATCTACATAGAGCATAATTTTAACGTTAAATATTTACCTACAAATTGTGTATTACTAGATATATATGTTTACATATATAGATATAACACGGTCTGAACATATGAACATCTTCCTTTTGGCTATTTTATCTATAAAAATACGAATCGCGTCATTTATAACATCAATAAATGTAGCACGGCAGAAATCACTGCCATAAATAAAAATCAATATAACACAAATGTTTTCATGTTTGAACAGGAAATTCAGGTGTAAGCTTAGGAAACGTTCTAGTTAGATATATTGTTTATTTGGCCTACATAAGGATTTAGAGGAGCGCCTATTGTGATTTATCTTATGAAACGAAAGGATTCATAGGAACCAACTCAACTCACACGGATCTCGACTAGGAGTGATGATTAGCTTTAAATAAAGGTAAGGTAAGAATAAGACGACCAAAAATACATTTCATAAACTTTTCTATAACATCAAATGTACATTATTTTATTATTACTCTTAAATATATTGGAATATTCTTGTTGGTTTAAACTTTACAAGTTTTAAAGTCATGTTTAACTTTCAAACATTGCTCCCGACTTATTACTTTCATTTTTCAACGTTAAAATTTTCCAATTGCAACGCTTTCCGCATTTTAATATTAAAATATATTGCTACATTTGTTTAGTGTTTTTTATTATCTTTTGTATTACTTCAACTATAAGCAAATCATGTAATTAATTACTATCAACAGCACTTTTTACAATGAGTTCTAAGACCTTCACGGGCATGTAAGCGTATTTTATTATTTTTATAAACTTATGTACTCCAAACATTTCGATTGCTGTAAAGTAAAATAATTAACTAGGTTTAGTAATCCGGAAAAAATATTAGTTTCAGAACCTTTAATATTGTTTTTAATGTCTTTACTTTACAGTTGAGATTGTCGCCTCACAATATACTAAGGCCTCGGCCGCGAATTTTGCGGGCAGCGGAGCGGCAGCGGCGGCGGCACGGAAACGCATACTATTCTCCAAACTAGCGGGCGGCGGGCACCGCTGTATTCGAGGGTCGGTCCATTTGATTATACGCGTAAGATCCTGCCGCTCCCGCTGCCGCTCCGCTGCCCGCAAAATTCGAGGCCGAGGCCTAAAGCTTGACTGATATTTTCGTATCGAATTATGAGGAGGATCTATACTCGTGAGATCTTTTCGGGTGACAAAGAACCAGTTACCTACTTGAAGTTCAATTTAGGACTTACAATGATATATGTATTTTTTAACTCACATAAAGTACAGTGTATCTAATATTTTATACAAACATTTGCACATTAAAACTTATGAAACTATATTGAAATAGGTTGTTTGGGTGAGTGTTAATTACGTGTCTATGTACGTGGAAGGTGCAGGCCAGTGTTTTGATAAATTTGACCTGATCCGATGTTTGCATGTTCTATGTGTGACGAACACATTCTATGCTGAATGTTATAAGATCTGTGTTGTTGATTGAGGCGCGCCATGTCGGTACTTTCTCGAGATTTCTATAACAAATTTTTATGAAGATTATCAAGTATCGATGATTAAAATATTTCAAAATTGTTGGTTAAAGTATTGATTCACTGGTTACATATATAACGTTTAACGTAATTAACGCACACCCTCAAACACCCCAATTAGAATATAATAATATAAACGCAATGCATACATCAAATATTATTTATATGTGCGTTTGCATTTTTTATTTGTGAAATTAGTTATCCCAATTTCGTGCAAATAATATGGTCAGCTATTCACCAACACTCCGCTGCACACGCAGACACAGACAGACACAATGTACTCGCCGCGCCCGCGCCCCTCTCTCCGAGTGCCGTCCGACAATAAAAAGTAGTAGGTAATAATAAGTACACGAAATAACTACATTATGATTTATGATTCTTCTTTCCATCACACTTTTCAGGCTTTAGATTGTCGACATTGAATTTTTTTTAATGTGAAGCCAATATTTTATAATTACTGATTTGTTAAATTAAATTTATAAATAAGAATTATTAAACAGCTGATAACGCGTGATTTGATTAGACACCACAATACCTACGACATAGTCGGCGTGTTTAAATGGTGTGAATCAAAATATTAACAATAATTCAAAGATTATAAACAAATTAATTGTAGTTTTAAAACATTTTTAAAATGTCCACCGCCTTGTTCAATGCACTTTAATGACCGTTTTCGCAATTGTGGTTTTGTTTTAGATAATACTGCAGTGTCACTTTTCAATTTTAAAAAGGCGGTAATTATCTTATTTTTTAGTTCCTCGACACTTGTTGTCTCTGTGTCTCGACACTTGTTGTCTCTGTGTCTTGTCTCTAAAACTAGCGATTTAATTTGCCCCCACAAAAAAAGTCGAGTCGCGTCAAATCAGCTGATCTAGGAGGTCAATGGACACGTGCGTAGGTATTTGATGTGTGTCGACTGTCGCTGTGCATGCGTAGATATTTGTAAAATACTATTTTAGCCTTTAAACAAGTATCAGTTTTCTTTAATTGAATGATGATTACTAATTTAATATTTCATTTTAAAAATCTTAATTCTCTGACTTACGATCCATTTTCGTTTCAATGAAGTGTTTAGATAACTGTGTGTAGGATGACTGTAATTTACTTAGTCCTATCTAAATTTGAGAAAAAAAATTACCTACATAAAAAACTATAAAAATCGATCTAGATTCCGTTTCTGAATAAACTACTTTCAGGGTGTGCGTTAATTATTTTACACGTTGTAGATTAATAATATAATGTTTTTATAACTAATATGCATTTTCAGATCATTGGGGCCGTTCAAGTATTACGTAAGCACTATAGAGGGGTGGGGGGGTCTTTGCTTTGGTTATTTTGGATGACAGGGGGGGTAGGGGAGTCTAGATGATGATTACGTCACCGGTAGTAATTTACTTTTTTATCATCACATCGAGAAGATCCATAAAAAAATATAATTATATTTTTTTATGGATTTAAATTTAAAAAATCAAAACTAATTGAAAATGTTTACATAAGCATGGGGGAGGGGGTAAGAGCTTTGCTTACTTTTACTGACAAGGGGGATGGGGGGGGGGTAAATATTTGTAATAAATCTGCTTACGTAATACTTGAACGGCCCCATTTTGAAGTTATCCAATGGAAACTATTAGTACCTACATAATTTGCGATTTCAAATATCGTCAATACATTAACAAAAATGAATTAAAACTAATAAACTGTAGAACTTAAAAAATACGCATTTATTCATGTCCTCAAAGCGTTCAAACTAAAAGACGACTTATTTAAATAAAATTACTTTAAATGCGTCCAAAGCCTCTTTTAAGTCACAAATATCACTGTTACAAAATTGTTCGTCTCCATTGCATAACAAGATTATTATAAATATAAAACTCATAGGTATATTGAAAACATTTGATGGGTATGAAATTTTTTTAAATAGTGTATGACTGTTAAGATTTTTGACAAATACTTTGGCAGTCACATTATTTTGTTTATTATCATTTAAAAATCTTGTACATTGTTGATTTCAATTTTAGCATGTTTAAATATTTAATTGTTCTATGCTGTATTCGATATTTTAGAAACCTATTTGCAGATTTTTAATTCTTTTTACATAACATTCTTCCTATGTTTCACAATATAAATAGAAGCAACATACATCGTCAAACTCTTAATATTTTTATGCACATTTATAAATATTTTTGTAACTGAGTAATTTATCAGTTTCATCTAGATTTTTACTTATTTCTAATATTGTACATATTTAAATTATAACAGACGTAAATTGACAGTACTTTAAGAAACTTGTTTTTCAACGAAAGTTTTATGTCATGACCTTAAAGATTGCTAAATGTCAAAAATCCCGGTAAATTCTAATTCTTTATTTTTACCCACCGGTAACGATTTCAAATTTATAAATAAGTACAAATTCAGTGCTTAATTAAAATACAAAAGCGGTAATAAAAAACTACAGTATTTAACGTGTCATGTTTTGAGAACCATTAATTCAGTTAGTATTATTGTGAATTTTCAAATATTATTATGTACAATACAAATGTATCCTATACTAAATGTGAGTTATTTTTTAGGTTATACCCTCGAAATGCAGCCTGGAAAAAAATACAACATGCTTCTGATGGCTACAATGGCTTTATACTTTATGGCATCAAAAATTTTGTTTGATAAAGTGAACGAAACTTCGAAGATGGTCATTCAAGGGCTGTCCTTTTGTAATAGAAACTTCAGCTACTGTGATCCAAAACTAACCACCCTGCCCGGACTCTACCTTGTTACAGCAGCCTTCAAAGATATCTACTTCCCATGTATTACATACATTCTTAGATTCATTAACTTGGGTGCGTCATGTCTAAATCTTACTCTATTCTCGTCAATTCTAAAATTCATCTATGGCAACCAGAATGATAATCAATGTAAAGTTATATTCCAAGCTCTAAACTTGGCGTTGCTGCCTCCTTTGTATTTTTTCTCCCATGTGTATTACACCGAGACACTGTCTTTACTATTGCTATTAATGTTTTCTACTTTATGTTTCATTAATAAGTCTAAATATCTTATATTCATATTTGGTGTGTTAAGTGTTTTAATGAGGCAGACTAATATTGCTTGGATCGCTATGGTTTTCGGGTTCAAGGTCCTCAATATACTTATAAGAAGCTCCAGAGTGTTCGGCAATAATTACTTAAGGAATACTATGTTGAGCAAACGGTCTCTCATAGCCAGAGACATTGATACGTCCAAACTAAAACGTTATTACGGCTTAACGGATGTGTATATCGCATTAAAATATCATTTACCAACATTTTTCACGAATAGTTTCCAATTTATAACGACCATGGATTGGTTTCTTATAGTACAGCAGCTAATGATTATGATATTATACGTTGTATTTGTGTTTATCAACGGTTCATTCGTTGTCGGTGACAAGGATTCTCATACACCAACCCTTCATTTACCCCAGATGTTATATTTCTTACTTTTTTATGGAGTTTTTGGTGTACCATATGTTTTAAGGAAATTATTGTCAACATTAAAATTGTTGTACCGTAATAAGTTGCTATTTGTGCTCATTGCTTGTGTGTTTCTTGTTGTGGTGCATTACAATACAATAGTTCATCCGTGCATCGTAGCTGATAACCGTCATTACACCTTCTACATTTGGAACCGCTGGTACGGTAAATATGATTATGCTAAATATGCAACGGTTCCCTTATATGTGTTTCTGCTGTTCAGTCTGTATGATAATTTGAAAGATCAGAACTGTATAACCTTTCTGTTGCCGTACTCAATGAGTTTGTTCCTGGTTCTGTGTTTGCAGCCGCTAGTGGAAATCAGGTATTTCCTGACTCCGTACATAATATTAAGATTTAGGTTTGCTCATCCATCATTTAAGACGGTTCTGTTCGAGTTTGTTTGGTATGTTACATTGAATGTGCTAAGTTTTTACATTTTCTTCACCAAAGAGATAATTTGGAGCGATATCAACAATATCCAGAGGATTATTTGGTGATGTTCCTGTTTAGGGCTTTGCCTAGATTATTTTCCTAGATTATTGTGAACGATGTAATGTATTTCATAAACTCCTACTATGAGTTCTCACATCTCGCATAGTAGTATATATATGAATGAAAAAATGTATTAAATGCCTCAATGCAAACCCATGGTAAAGATGCTAACAAAATTAAATTTAAATCAATTAAGTATTTATTTCCCAATTTATTATTAAGTGTTATGTAAAAATAATGTGTTTTTTAATTATATTTTTAATTTTTCTTGTATTACGCCTTGTATATTATATTAAAAATAAATTTTGTCAATTTCATATGTTTTTTATTGGTTGCCATACTTTTGAACTAGTTACCCCAACTTTAGGGTAAATATTTGTAAGAAGATTATTATACAAAAATCATTAAATTATAATAATACTTAAATCTATAGGTATAATAAAATATGTGTATAAAAATTCAAAAATATTTATTAGTTTATTGAAAACATTTTTTTAGCTACTTCTACGATTTTTCATGATTAAATCGAATATAAATTTTTAAAAGATTTTTGTTTACTTCTTTTATTCGAATTAAATTCCTACGATATTTCTAGAATCTAGCGAATACAAAGGATTTTTTAAAAATTCATAAATATAAATGCATAAAAAAATAATAATTAATTGGTAACAGATATCACATATAGGAATGTTTAATCACAACACGAAAAATACAAAAAAAAAGGTCAAAAAAGACATTTGGAATGTCCAAATAAGTACAAAGTCCTAAAAAAATTAAAAACTAAAAAAAAACAAATTACTATTACAGCATAATATGTACTCACTAGGTGTAAAGATTTTAAAAAACTTAGATTAATCCAAATAAAAAATATATATAAATTCATTTCAATACATAAAAATATATAAAACAATGATTTCTAAACATGATGTATTGACAAAATAAAATAAAAATATAGAAACTTTTTCAAAATCATATTGGCATAATGATTCCAACCTTTTTTTTTGTATTATTGTAATGTTAAGTGTATTTTTATTAATTATAAAGATATTATCATATATTTTTGCAGCAGTGTAATACATAGCGGCCATACAGTATACATTATACATACAAATATGATATACAAGTGAAATGCCAATCCATAAAACGGCGGCGTTCCGAGGAAGTTTCAGGTTCTGCGCCACCAAGTGCTGGAATGACTTGCCTCCTCCTTTTCGTGACCTGAAATCGATAGGAAATTTTCAATATAAATATAAATTATATTTATTAGATAAACAAAAAAAATTCCTAATCTTAATATTACGTATTAATTGTAATTACATACTATTTGTCGTTTTTAATTTTTACTTATTTAATCCGTTGCAGTTTTGTTTAGCTATTTATATTATAATTGTATTTATAGTCACATATGTATGTATATTCTACATTAATTTTGACAGAATTATAATGTATGTGATATAAATAATAATATAGGAATTAATCATAAAAAAATTACATATTATTATATAGGAAGGTACCTGTTTATTTGCGGGTCGATTGCAATAGACAAGTATCACATGACTTTGGCTTCCGCGCTCAAATGCATTGTTTTTCCGTTTTTTTCTATAGGATGTCATCTTAACTGCCTTTTTTCATATTTCGTATAGTTTTCATGAGTTATATCTTTAAGAGAAATTATAATAAGTTATTATGTTTGATGTTAATAAGATATGTTTGGTAAATATAATGTTGGTTTTTGTTAAATTAAAATGCCTTTGTTTTATACTAATTTCATTACAATTTCATATTATAAATACATAGTTACATCTATGACGTATTTAATAGAAATATGTCTTACCTTATATTTGCCTAGTCCAAACGTTTATTAATAACATAACATGTATAACAATTTATTTTTTAGTCACTGTTGTGTATTTTATTGTGTTCGTTTTGAGTAGGTACATTTGGATTAAATAAACAAGATGCTTGTGGTGTTAGCCTTTAGACGCTGCGGGATGCACTGAGACAACATTGAACAAATATAATATATTATTATCTAAATATTACGCCCTGCTCCCGCGCGTCCCGGCACACCTGCGTAGCAAGCGCGATAGGTATATTATTATATGTTTAATGTTTTGTTTATTTTAATATTAGGTATATATTATTTTATATGTATTGTTATTTTTAAATTTAACAATGTTATTTTAATGTTATTGTTACCGCTGTCAGTGCCGCAACATTAGGAGATCACTGAAAATCAGTGTAGAAGCAATATTGCTTCTATTTTTTTACTGAGTGGTTCTCCTTTTGGTTAAATTACATTGCTGCACACTTATTATTGTTGTTATTGATTTTTTAACTTAATATTTGTCCGGTTGTAGTTGTTATGTTATTTTATTTTCCTTTTTTGTATACATAGATTAAGTTTTACTCTGTTTTTATTTTGTTGTTTGTATTTCTTTTGTTGTGGTGTAATCTTTTAACCAATAAACGTATATTATTATTATTATTATCATGTAGTTGTCTTTGGTAAATAATTTACAAGCTTTCCGCCTGCAGCTTCGCCCGCGTTAGTTCGGTTATATCGCGTTTCCAAGAGAACCTTTCAAAAGTCTGGGATAAAATCTATCCTATGTTCTTTCTCAAGGTCAACTCTATCTCTGTATCAAATTTCATTAAAATCAGTTCAGTGGTTGAAACCGTAACAGACAGACAGACAGAGTTACTTTCACATTTATAATATTAGTGGAGATGTGGGTATGTTTGGAATATAACCATGAGGATGTGTTTGGTATATCACTCATAGAAATGCAAAATTAAAACTGTTATACTTCATAATTCTCTTTAAACATAAATATGTACTGTTTTATATCAATAAATATAAATATTTATTTCAATCCAAGAAACAAACAGCAATTTCTTATATATTGTCAAAATAAATTACAATTTTCATAAAAACAAAGTAACTTATCTACTTATATAATAAAACACAGTTATAAAAGTAGTTACATACCAACTATCAGTTTGACAGTGTCCGTTGTGACACCCGTTATACCCAGGGAGAGAGACCACGCGAGCAGAAACTGGAAACGAAGCATACTTATGTAGTTAGTGAAGATGACTCACAATAAACACATAAGTCGGTCAAGAATATCAATAAAATGGTCTCTGAAATAATGTTTTCAACTAAATAAAATATGTTGCTGTAGAATACAGTACCACGTCAGTGGTGGCCTAGTGGTTAAAGGGTCCGCCTCTCGTTGTCGAGGGCGCGGGTTCAAACCTGGCAAGTATCAATGTGATTTTTCGGAGTCGTATGTACTTTCTGAGAGTATTTAGACACCACTGACATACGGTGAAGGAAAACATCGTGAGGAAACCTGGACTTTAGTTTCACAATTATAAGTTTGAAATCACCAACCCGTCTTGAGCAAGCGTGGTGATTAATGCTCAAATCTTCTCCATGTGAGAAAGAGGCCTTGCTCAGCAGTGGGCGCTGATAGGCTGATGACTGTAGAATACTCCTAGAAAGAGCCAAGAGCCCAATCATTCTCTCTCATATTTTTAATCACACTAACACAGAAATACTCATAGACTGACTGTGTTATATTTCTTTCTATTCCACATGAAAATGTCAGGTATTGTTTTTTTATAAGACCTAAGTATATTTTGTAAGTTTGACAAACTTATTTGATGTTGATTAAGTTGTCAAATAATATACTTAATTCGTTACGTACCTGATGTAACCGACATAAAATGAACAACAACAGCAAAAAAAAAGAAAGTATTAAGTAAAGAATAACATCGTATTTATCAGATTTGAATTTTCTACAAGTTGATTGTATTCTTTAAAAGTCAAGTTTATAGTGGTTATAAACAACAATACTTGACTTGATTTTTGTTTTATTATTTTAATGATAATAATTCACATATCTGTAAAGACTTTCGTCATTACGAATTACTTTTTTAATAATATGAAATATATTGAAACTAGATAAAATTTTATTATACCATTACTGATACCGTACCAGACTTTAAATGAACTTCAATGAATAATTTGCGAGAGTAATTGGTTGAATTTTCGAAGAAATGAATTCAAGGGTTTAGAGATATTTTTAAAGATTTATCTATCTCCTCTAACTTAGTGAAATGACTAAAGTGAGCTTTGATAATTTAACTTTTATTTTCTACAAGTAATTAATGTTCTTACAGATTCTAAAACAAAACTATTCAAAGCTATTTACCATTTTTTTTTAAATAAATTTCGTCATATTATACCTACATATTTTTTTAGTATTATATAAAGTGACTCATGAATGATATATTTTTACTATTAGTTATCACATATTATGAGTAACTCCCAAGTGACCTGACATTTAAATCCTTAGAACATTTACTATTTTCTTTGTGCATTAAAGCTTTCTTGGTTAAATGCATCAGAATATTCTATGGGTAATAAATCAAGATCTTAGAATGACGTTGGACAGTCGGTTTCTAAGTAGTGGCTTTTTTGTGGTAATTACACTAATAGTATGAGATTTTTAAGCATATTTTATTCAACAATTAAAAGTAACTCAAAGAAACGTAAGGCGTAGAAACTTGTATACAGCATTTAAATATTTACAATTACATTGTTTTGTCTAATTTAGGTCTGTTATTAGAAATATGATATAAAACTATTCTAGTAGATAAAATTTTACCACTAATCACTTCAAAACAATCCTTATTTAAAGGCTAAGTTGAAGTTATGGGTAAACTATTTTCTTTTCAAGTTAAAAGTTTCAGAAGAAGTTGTATAAAGTCAAGGAATATTTTTTTATTTAGATAGAAACCTTTGTATAATAAAGTTAATTCTTAGAACTTTATTAAAGCAATTGTTTATTGAAGCAAACTTCTATATTAAATTAATGACAAATAAATTTCAATTCTGAGATAAAATTTTATTTCGTCGTATATGACAAATTCCACGGTATAAACTATAAAGTAACTAGAAACAAATTTTAATATATACCATCATTGTTAATGA